TCTATTATGGGGAGGGGTTTACTTGAATATAATTAGATAGTATCTCATCTATCGCTATTTTTCATTTTCTTCGTATCGATGTCATTAGGTGTCAGTGATTACATACAGATTATACATAGACAATTTGAGTGAAAAATTAAAATGTATGATTTGATCAGATGAACACAGATATTAGATCGAGCTATTGTAGTTATCACAACAAAATTCAAAAAAAAATTTGATGTTAAAAGGCAATAATATTGGGGAAATTTAACAATGGAAAATTTTCATTTGTTTAAAATCAACAAAGACGAAAAATAGACGAGGTTCCGCTTGATCAGTTGAATTTTCTATGAATATATAGAAGGTTTCGTTTTTTTCTCTTTCAAATAATAAAGATTTCTTCTCAACACTTATTCTAAACAATATGGAACATACCTTTGTTTAGGGTGGGTGTGGGTAGGGTGTAGATGTGGGTGTGGGAAGAGTGTGGGGTGTGGGATGTTGGTGTGGGTATGGGTATGGGTGTACGGTTTAAAGAAAGGCAAGTCACACCCACACTCACCCAACATCCACACACACCCACACCCGCACCCCACCCCCACACCCAAACTCCACCCACACCTACACCCCACCTCACAGCCACACCCACCCATACGCATCCCTCTTGAGACCCGTTTTCTTCTATCAGCAAAGACCATTGCATCTATGACACACGATCGTGCCGAAGTGACTCCGTCGACATATCTCGATGACGAGGTATGAGATGATACGGGACTTTTCCCATGAGTGCATGAGCTTTTACTGCTAGTTGCAACTCTATCAGGGTGTTTCCTGACCGCGCGGGTGCGCGTGAATAGAATAGAAAAAAAAATCACTGAATCTTATTTATTGAACCGATAAGAAAACGGAACAATGTCAATGAGTTCATTGAAGAGCAAAGCGTTGAACACGATGATTTGAGTAATCGGCGACATATAGATTTCCGTGTCGATCGAATGACAAACCGACGGGATCATTGAGTTGGTTTGATTTTCCTCCTTTACCGTTTCCACCAACAATGACACTTCCCTGTGTGGCTCCTTTGGGCCAACGCATGATTCGATGATTCCCGGCATCAGCCACATAGACAGTGCCCAGTCGGTCGACAACGACTCCTTTAGGATAATACAATTGTGTAAGACCATTTCCTTCTTCTTGGCCCCCAGCCACCACAGTGCCTTGTGTTGCATCTTTCGCCCATTTTACCACACGAACATTCCCAGCATCAGACACGTACACTGCATGCTCTCGATCAACGAATACGTACCAAGGATAATGGAGTTGATCGAGACGATTTTCTTGTCCATTGCCACCTGCAACTACGGTTCCTTGCGATTGTCTTCTTGGATATCGTCTCACTTCATGTTTCCAGCCATCAACAATGTAGAGAGCCTCAGTCTCGTCCATTGTCAAACTAAGGCATGTGATGTTGGAGATGATTATTTCTCCACTTGTGCCATTTCGACGAGGCCATCGAACGACCCGTTTATTCCAGCAGTCTGAAATGATGAGACTATCCGTCTCTTTGTCGACGATGACATCGGTAGGCGCAGAGAGCTGATTCGCCTCACTTCCTCGCTCATTTCCACCGGCAACTACTTTGCCAGCCGTGGTGCCCGCTTTCCATTCGACGATACGATGATTGTGTTGATCAGCGACATAGACGGTTTGTTCGTCGTCAATATATAAACCCATTGGAAAATTGAGTTGATTCATTCCATTGCCTGTTCCATTTCCTCCGGCAACGGTGACACCATTTTGCTGCCACCGAGCATTCGGAGGAATATCAATGATACTGGCACGTAATGGTACGACTACAATAATAAGAAAGGAGAAAATCAGAAAAATCGATACGACACACATATGTTATATTTTTCTATATCTCTATTTTAAAAATGAATTAGTAATTCTTAGTCAGTGTTTTTGTTTCGTATTAAAATCTATCCAACAGTATTAAAATATAAACGGAAAAAATAGAGAAGATGAACTATTTTGAATATCTTAGTTTGTGTCTTATTTATGAATCATTATCTCATATTTTAGTATATAACAAGTTCTACAGAGTTCTCAATGAAACAAAAAGAAAAAACTATTGAAATGATCGAAAATATTAGAACTTTGGAGTAGTTTTATTAAATCTTTTGTCAGTTTATTTATGATAATATGTTGATTATATAACTTCTAGAACTAGCTCATTAATTATATATCATTAGCTTTTTTATATGCTTTTTTAATCATAGATATATCGATTCATGTCACAATAAATTCGTAATAATATAAATATGTTTAACTATGATGTAAAAATTAAGCTCTGACAGCAACAGAAAAAAAAACGAAACGAAATTTTATTAAATTGATGAAGATAATGGTGTCCTGAGGTTTACAATAGAGAAAAGAATACAGAAACATTTATTTATGAGAAACGAATGTATTAAATTAATACCTGAAACAAAAAAGAAGTTCTAATTTGTAGCCTATTCAGTTTTTGATGTTTTGAAAAGCAACTATGTCTTAATTTGTATCATTTCAATTGTAAAAACATAATTCTATTTGAATTAAATTTGTCAATCTTTCTTTTCAATATTTGACAAGACGATCGACACCAGATAGACAAAATAGCAATAGAACGTGTATAATTTTGTTTTTCCTCTCATCTTAATATATTTGATTTAATGTTTTTTTTCAAAGAATACTTCGAATTGTTTTGTTTTCTTTTCATTTTCAAAAATAGTGACAGTCCTTATCACTATTTTAAAGAGAATTCATGATCTCAAATGAGTAAAAATTAACGAAAAATACCAAATTTTACGTTAAAATAATTTGAATTACAACTATATGAAATACTTGAGATTTTTCTCATATACACGACGTACATATTCGTTCTTATTAAATTATAATTATTGATGAGAAGAGCTTTTTAATATATACATATTAGTTAGTTATATTGCAAATGTATGATATTTACTGGTAGATCTTAAAAATGAATTTTACTATCGATAAATACACTTTATATTGAAGAAGGCTATGGAAAAATGTTGAGACTCACTTCTCAAACAGTAAAAATCGAATTCAACGAAATAATGAATGAAAAAGATAATGTTTCGCTCAGAAATCCTTCAAGTGAGTCGTGTTCTCTACATGTGTAGTACTCTTCTTTTTTTTTCGTTTCTAAATGTTATTCAAAGTCTCGTGAAATGCGATTTCAATCAAATGAACATTCAAAATCAATGTTATCATTTATTATTAAGAAATTTAGCTTTGTATAGAACTGTTCGTTTCTGATAATCTATATCTCTATACAGGGGCGTAGCCAGGATTTTTAGACCAATGGGCAAAGTTCTCTTATGCTAGAAAAAAATGATGGGCGATATGGACAAGGTTTTCATTAATGGACCAAAAATTTTTTGATCCAACCAAGTACTGTTAACGTAAAAAAGAACACAAAAAAAATGAAACAAGGTTTTTTTAATGAAATTTGCATAAAAGTCAGATCTAAAGCTCCCCTCCCCCCCAAAAAAACAGTCAATTTTCGTCAAAAACATGAAAATGGAGAAAAATACGTGAGAAGATGGTCGGAAGTCTGCTATTTCAAAAGAGATATAGCTTTTTATTTCGTACATCGTTTTAGCAACAACTTTTGATGTTTTCCGTCCCTACCTACTTGAAAAATAAGCTGGTTTTAGTGAAATCGAAAAATCTTTTTCGTTTTTTCTCAGTTCATGATTTGTCGAACGCTCAAACCAAACTTCTCCGCCCAGGCTAATTATATAGGATGGTCCAAAAGTAACTGGGTAGTCTTTGATTGCAAATCACTTTTGATAGGAACAAGATAGAGAGCTGCAATTTTTATCGTTTAAAAGAGAAAAAGACTGCATCAAATCTTGAATACCAGATTTTTATGACAATATTCAATCGGAATCTTCAAAAATTTTTCGTAATAGAAATTATTGTGTAATGTGAAAGTTTTAGAATTTTAATTTTAAGTAGTGAATCAGAATTGTTAACTAAAGTTTAACAATTTGTGTTCGATCAATGCCAGAAAGATTTAGCAAATCATTAGTTCTTAACATTTTACTACGCGTTCTCAGCAGATTCTTCGCGAAAAGTCGACGTTTTCTCTGATTTCTTGACGAAAAATCCACCTATTAGATCTATTTAAAAAGCCTAAGTTTTTAAAATAAACTTGTCCGAAAACCATGAGAAGTTTTGTTATAAAAATCTGGTATTCAAGATTCGATGCAGTTTGTTTTCTCTTTTAAACGGTAAAAACCGCAGCTCTCTATCTTGTTCCTATCAAAAGTTATTTGCAATCAAAGACTGCTTGGTTACTTTTGGACTACCTTGTATGCATTTAATTGTTTTTTTTTTGAAACAGCATGTCAAAACGTGCGACACCAAAGAGTCCTTCGTTTTAGTTAAGCTTTTTTCTGTTACATGTACAATCACTTTTATAAATTGAGCTCCATTTTTAGAGAGTTTTTTGACTCATCAAATTTGGGATTTCTTCTCTCCTTTCAAGAAATAAAAGTTCAAAAAAAATGAGTCTTTGGTACCCTGCATCTCAACATGCTCTTTCAACCAAAAAAAAAAATTTATATACAAGTAAAGTTCGTCGGTTCGACTCACTTAACCCTCGACTGTGGAAGACAGAAGTATTTTTTTGCATGTGCCAATGTTGGAAGAATTGCCCTAGCAACTTTATACGAATAAGCAATTCAAATGTCTTTGCTTAACTCGTGGCATTCGAAAAAACAATACTCGATCTTGTATGTAAAATTGTTTGGGATAGAACATGTCTTTTATTAAAAGCTGTAATATTATAAGTACTAGCAATTACATGCAATTCAAAAAAAATGAGTCTTTGGTACCCTGCATCTCAACATGCTCTTTCAACGAAAAAAAAAATTTATATATAAAGACCCTGAATCCAAAAATTTGGGATACCGAATCAATTCTTTTTTAACCTTGTTTGGTGGATATCTCTGTCAAACGTCATGGTTTAGGATCGAAAGTTTTACCATAGCTTCTCCACTACAGCTGCAACATATTCTCTGAATGTCGTGGCATTAGAATGTTCCTGTACTGATATTGACTTTTGAGGGCGAAGAGACCTTAAGACTGACGAGGGAGCATTCTCAAGTGTCACATCGCTTTTGGATCGAAAGTATAAGCATTATATAAGTCCTAATGATCCATGGATACCCTGAAAAAAGTTCGTGCTGCTAGCTTATTGGTGCCGAGATATTGCATTTTTATGGTATTGTTTAAAAATGAATGCCGTGGTCCCCCTCAGAAACACCAGAAAAATCAATTTTTGAATTTCAATTTAAAACTTAGCACAGAGATAGGTCTTAACAGGAATAGTTTATTGTGAAGCTTTCAGATCTTTTGATTCTGTTCTATCCTGAAATCTGAACATCAAATCTGTTCATATATGTGAGCGATTTTATCATAGCCATATCTTAGAATAGAAACAACCAAAAGATCTGAAACTTTCACAATAAATTATTCTCATTGAGACTTATCTATATGCAAAGTTTCACGTCAAATTTCGAAGCTCAGTTTTTCTGATGTTCCTGTGGGGGAGTACGGCTTTCGGCTTAAAAATATCAGAAAATTGTAATATCTCGGTGCCAGTAAGCTAGCAGCACGAACTTTTTTCAGGATATTCATAGATCATTAGGACCTATATAATGCTCATGCCATTGACCCAAAAGCGATGTGACACTTGGGAATGCTCCCTCGTGAGTCATGCGTGTTTAGTCTATTTTGAATGTCTCTATTATAAGATATATATTTCAAATTCAAACACTTAAGTCAAGACGACGATGATACATTTGTGTATATAATTTGTATATTTCATCTGGATTTATATTGAGATCTTTATAAATGTATACAGCAGTAAAGAACTAAACAATTTAGAAAATTCAATGGTCAAAGCATTACTTTTAAAACTTACAATGGACAATTCTTAAAATGAAATGGATAATTGCCTATGTGCCCTCCTACCCTTGGCTAAGCCACTGCCTCTACATGTAACAAGGGGGTGGGGAGAAATTCATAAATGAATAAATATTATTGGAGAGTTGTTTGATAAGGATGCATCACAATAACATACAATTCCAATACGCATCATTTAAAACAGTTAGCGAAAGTGAAAATTTGACAGTTTGAATCAATACATTGCAACTTTTTTGAAAATGACATTCTCTCTTTAAAATAAGATCAAAAATTTATTGCGAAATCACTTCATTCAAAAATAAAAAGGAAACATATCTCTTCTATACGACAAGATCTCTAATAAATGAAACAACCAAAGAAAATTTTTATTGTGAATAATTCAAACAAATCATACGATCTTGATCTGAATAGTATTTGTTTTTAGAAACATACCAACTTCGTTTCATTATCGTTTTGATGACACATACTGCAAGATTGAATGGCTAATGATTGAAGTATTTGAACGTTCAAGCATGTTTCATTTTCCTTTTTATGTACGATAACGATTTTGTAAATTTTTCAGTTACTTTTTTTATACAGGTAGATTTTTTTAAAAATGTTTCTATAAGATTTTAGTTGTTACGTTTGGATAATTCTTTTTATCATCATTTTGTAATAACATGAACGCGTTTTTTTTGACTGCACAGTGATTAACATTTCTTGATTTGAGAAGAAGAAGAATAAACAACAAAATACTGCGATTATTTTCGTTGAGAAATCTTTTCAAAATCTACTGTTGACAAGAAATGAATTATGCCTGTGAAAATTGAATCGACTGCTATTTCTACTAACTCTATTTATAATGATTTATTCTCCTTATTAACCATAGATAAAAAAATTCTAAAGCATTGATCACATTTCAT